ACAGCTTGACCCTCAGAGCACCAGCAGTGATGAAGGCAGCGGCACACACCGTCAATGTGGGAGACGGGGATGCTGACGTCGTCAGAGTCGTGCTTCGTCACGGTGGCCTGCAGTGTGCTGGCTTCCTGCACAAAGTCAGATGCTTTGTCCGTGTATGAGTAGGGATTCGCCACCAATGTCAGTAAAACCTGGGCATCGAAGAGCCGAGTAAAACACATTCAGAGGGTCGCAGGTGAAATGAACACAAAACAAGCGAAATGGGCACTGGTCAAAATCAAGGGAAGCGCTAAAATGTTAATAGTCCCTAATAAGAACAATTTTATTCAATGGGTTTTTTTTTTTTTAAATCACTTTTTGTTGTGGAATTTAAAAAATTAAAATCTTTTTAACATACCATTGCCATTTAACTTCTTTCTTTCTTAAATTTTTGTTAGAGGGCACGTGCATTCTCCAAAAACAAAAAGAGAAGGAGAGGAGAAAGTACCCCCTTGGGAAATGATCACACCATAATCCCTTCTCCTCCATCTCTCTGTCTCTATGGGATTTTAGGCACATATGCTGACACATGCACCTAGAACGTTTCTCAAGACACCAGGTCCAGGACTCAAACTGCATGGTCAGCTGTGTGGTATTCGGCTGTCTTGGCCACCAAACCATGGACACAACCCCATTTTCTTTTCTATCACTATTTCCTCATGCAAAAACAGATTCCCAAAAGGAAATTAAACAGCTTATAGTGACATATTCCAATTTTACAGACTCTAAAAATCAAGTAGGTTTTGAAGTCTCAGCAAGAATTTGGAAATATATGGGACCAGCGGTTGGCATAATGGCTATGTGGCTGGACTCCCATGTAGTCGACTGCGGTTCATGTCGTAGGCCTGGTGGCTTCAACTCACGCTGGACATGTGTGTGTGCGTGCTTAAGATCCCAAGAGGAAAATAGAAAGGAATTGTGGTGTGGTCATCCCCCTGGGGGGTGATTTCTCACTTTCTGTCTCTTTTTCTCTGTTTTTCTGGCAAACACACACACCCTATAGCAGAAACTTCTCTCCCCACCACCAAAAAAATAAGAATTTGGAAATATAATCCAGAATGAGAAAACTCCTGGCACTTGCCATCAAACATGCCATAACTGCACTAAGCAAAACTTGGTCTGGGTTGAGTAGCCCTTACTCAAAGGTTGGATTTTGGAGCATTTTGGATTTTCGGATTAGGAACGCATGGACATCTGAAAACGCTGCTCTATGTGGGAAATGCATGCTTACGCGTTCCAGGAACTGAATCACGGTTTCTTTGCTCTCTTCCACAGTACTGTCCAAGTGCTCCAGCCAGAGCTCGAGCTCCCTCCAGGTGTGCTCAAACACCCCTGTGTCCCGCAGAATCTGACAGAAAGCAGAGACCAGAGAGACGTCAGACAGAGCCCAATCTCTATGACAACACACGAGAGATCCAAGGAGCATGAAGGGGGTCAAAGTTCCACCCAAAGTTTTACTTAAAAGCTACTCTTTCAAAATAACATCCTCATTGTTGAAGGAAATAGGAAGAGAGATGATTCTGTGCTTTATCGAAGGCAACATAATGCTTTGTCTTGCTTCTTATCCTTTTTCCTAATTTTCTAAATAATAAGGGGAAAATCCCAGGGCTAGGTAGAAGGTTGGTTTTCTAACTAGACTTTTACAAAGACCCAGGTGAACATACATGGCCTGACCCCTCACAGCTACTCAACCCTCAACCTGTATGAAATTCTCCAAGGTCCAGCCACAACATATTCCGATGTGTTATCTCGAGACTCCAAGCTGGGCAGGCAGCACACGCTACTTCTAAGAGGACGGAACTAGCTATGAGGCAGACTTAGACCTGTAAAAGTGATAAAATGACATCCCCAAATAGCTTGGTGACAGAGACTCGGGACTAAGTGGCCTCATGGCATGGAGCCTTGCCACAGAGCGCACCAAATGAACATCTGACTGTGCCAATTCCACGTATCTACAGTCAGTGACCGTGAGCTCTGGCTGGGATCAGGTTCAAACCTGCTCTGCCTGTAAGGACACAGCAGCCCACAGAGGTGGACGCTTAAGACAGCCATGTTCTTCCGGTAGCTCAGGTGAAAAGGTTGAAATACAGTGAGCTCGGGGCCAGCAGGTGGCGCTGTGGTTAAGGAGCTAGATTCCCACATGGCCAACTGTGGTTTGAGTCCTGGACCTGGCAGCTTAAAAATCATGCTGAGTATGAGGGGTATGTGTGCGAAATCCCTAGAGAACAGAAGAGAAGGGATTATGGCATGGCGATCTCCCTGGGAGGTGATTTTTCATTTTCCTCTTCTCTGTCTCTCTCTGGGATGTGCATACACTCCATGGCAAAAATTTTTTTTAAAAGTGTAGCAAGCTTATCAGCACCTCAAAGGGGAAAAAGTCAAATCTCTGCATTCTCAAAATGGGGAACATGAGTATGCAGCACGCTAAAGGTGTTCCTGCACAGCAGAAGCGAGGAACCAGATAAGCAACTGCTGTGGAAAGGCACCAGTGTAGACCTAGAAAAGAGGGCCAAGCATAACAGAGAAGAGAACAAGCAAACTGCTCATTCTTCTCCACAGACTTTGATGATGTGGGCTGGGGGTGATCAAAAAGGCGGGAAGTCCCACAGAAGGCCATGAGTCTGGGAAGGAGGGAAGAGGCCTCACCTGTCACACAGTCCCTCAAAAGGGCCAGGAATCTATGGAGCCTTTGTGTGTTAGGCACGACCTAATACTTGATCACATTTCACCTTTACCTCTCCACAACCCTATGGTGTTCTTATCCCCATTCATCCTGGGAAAAAGTTCAGAGAGGTTAGGTAACTTGTCCAATGCCACTCAGGAAGTAACAGAACCAAGATTTAACTGTAGGAATCCTATTTCAAAGTCCACCTTTTGTCCAGTTTACTGCTCAGGAGTGCAGTTAAGTTGAAGACACAATAAATTAAGAAAATAAAAAATATAATGATAAATAAAATTAAATATTTTTTTTTTTTAAAGAAACTGGTACACACAAGCTCACCTTCATGATCAGAAGTTTAGTGGATGACTTGAGTTCTAAGTGGCTACTGGTCACAAACATTTTCATCAACAAGTAAAACACTGACCGTTCACCTCCGATAATTTCTGCATCTGGGCCTTCCTACAGAGTTGAGCAATAATTTATATTCTAAGTGTATATATGATTACAGGTATGATTTTAACATATGATTACATAATTTGTTACAAAAATAATGGGGGCCATTACATGCAGAGCAAACAGGTGACGACATGCCCACTATGCTCTATCTCATCTCATTTAACTATGACTCCTTGGCACGATCGCCGTGAGTTTACACGTAAGAAAACTCAGAAGTTATACCTTGCTAACACCCTAGAACAGCAGCTGCAATAACAGTAAAGAGCAACCACAGGGAGCACAGGAAGCTCTCTCCATCTGCTGGTGCTGCTCTAGCACCTTTGCGCACACTGACTCAGTTTCCCAGCAACCCCATGAGCTGGGTAGAGCTGTTACCCTATTTCACAGTTGTAGAAACGGAGACCCTAAGAAGGCGAGTGGTTGTTTACTGGGAATGACACCCAGGTGCAGACGCTGAGCTGCCTGGTGGGTGGTAGAAAAGGAGGGGTGCTGGGGCTGTAGACCCCATCGAAGGCAGCGCTTGCACATTTTCTCACGAAGCTAGTGCTAATGTAACTGACTACTTCCTCTAAAGGCTTTGGGGCTTTGAACACAGCTCAGCAAAGCAGGTTGAGTTCCAGATCCCCAACCTAAACTCATCAAGTCTGGGTATTTTTCTGCAACCCCTAGCAATGCGGCTGAGGCTGAATATCTATAGCATTGGGGTTAACTCGGCCAGCAGACCAACCCGCAGATATATCCTCTAGGGTGGAGCACAGGATCAAAGCTTATATCTTAACAGTTCTTTCAAATTGAAAGACCTCTGTTCACTTTTCAAGATCCTGTCAGGTTGGGACCAGCAGATAGTGTAACGGTTACATCACTGGATTCCCATGTGGTCGACCACAGTTTGAGTACCAACCAGACCTGGTGGCTTCAAATTCATGCCGGGTGTGTGAATAAAAATAAAATCTGATAAAAGCTCCAAGTCATTCAAATAAAACGATCAATTCAGATTATAGAACACACTCACAAATCCATAATTTTGCTTATTTCTTCCTCTTGCACAGAAGTGACATAGCATCCTAGGCTTAAATGTACAGGTATTGAACAGGTATCTGATATATTCTGAGCCTCCCTTTATGACTCACGTTATGTTCTCCACAGTTCTGGAACGTATTAAAGACACAGCATCTGGGACCAGCAGATGACATAATGGTTATGTCGCTGGACTCCCACATGATCGACCACAGTTATGGACCCGGTGGCTGGCTTAAATTCACAACAGGCGTGTGTGCATGCGTGTCCAAGATCCCAAGAGGAGAATGGAGTAGAACAGACTGTGGCATGGCCATCCCCCTCGGGGAGTAATTTCTCATTTTGTCTCTCCATCTCTGCCTTTCTGGTGAGTGCTTTAACCCTATAGCATAAATCTCTCTTAAAAAAAAAGACACAGCATTAACCCTTTTCTAATGGTAGCTATCCCTACCTCCATGTTAAGTTTCTCCACAATGAAGACAAAGAAGAAGGAATATATATTATTTCCAAAAAAGGTTTGAAAATGATGAGAAAAATGTAGAATGGTCAATATGAAAATCCCCAAAGTCCTTCGACCCTCCGAGAGTGTATTTGCAGTAAGCACCCTGTTTTACAAAAGAAAGCAGCTTCCCAGGCCTCCTGGTCCATGAATCAGAGCCTGGCCTCTGTCCAGATGAGTGTCTAAAATGAGAACCGTTACCTTCTTCCTTCATGTCCCTGCCTGTCAGGATCCTGGTCCATTAGAAAGTCATTAGGCCGAGAAGCCAACAAACCCAGCAGGCCACCAAACGGCAGAAGAACGAAACTCTTGGCTTCCTACCTGTGCCTTTAACCACAAAAATTTGCTGGCAGGCAGTTCCAGGGCCACCTGTAGCATCCGGTGCTGCAGAATGGGAGGTGCCTCTTCCTGAAGCCCTTGCTCAGAGATGACGCCTACAGAGAGCAAAGAGGAAAACTGATACATCCCAGGGAGGAGGTGTCCAAGCCTGCCCAAATGATACATCAGGGACTCCACATCTAGATAGGAAAAAGCCAGGCCAGGGGTTGCATTTATGTGCCCTAGGCTCTGTCAGACAGGCTATGTCCAGGCACCCCATCTGATGTGGGTCCCCTACCCCAGAGGTCCTTCCAGTCCTTAAACAGCAAGCCCCCTTCCACCTGCCCAGAGCCCTTCTGCCACGCAGCCCACGCTGGCCTCTCCCTGCAGCCCCACTGTCCCATACCACGCTGCCCTCCGAGTGTGTCCCAAGGTTGGCAGCCCTCGTAGGGGCAGGCCTTGCTCCCCAGACAAGCGTCCTGTGGACGGAGGCTATGACCACTGGGGTGAGACTGGGACCTTATTTTGTAGGCTGGTCCCGGTCTCTCCTTTGCTTTGGAAATACACAGACACTAAATGGCCACATTCTAGGATATTTGATATTTCCACCACAAAGAGAATCATTCACCTTCAAATGATTAAGAAGTTAATTAAGGAGATACTTTTAATAGCTTATATAAGTCAAGAGAACGAAGTTTTGGCAAGTCCTGTTTCGTAAGCCCAATTACAAAGTCAATTTTATTAGGTAAATTTCCCTGTCAAGGAAATATGACCAGACAAGCATCATGATACACAAAGTGGTCTGAACCTGACTCACCAGGGTAAAATGCAAGGCAAGGATGTCAAAAGCACCTCTGTACGCATGGGACATCCCTTCTCCAAGGCTCTCGTTTCTGCCATACTCTCTATGCCCCTGCTCCCCTGAAAAGCAGCTTCAGAACTAATGCACAGGACCTGATCTGCGGACCGCCTACAGCAGGATACTCAGGTTGGCTGGGTCTTCACTGCTGCCAAGCCCCCCTCACCTGATACTCACTGAAGGAGACCTGCTACTTAAAACTGACTGTGCTACGGATAACGCATTGGGCTGCCAATCATGCACGCCAGCAAGCCGCCCAGCACTTGCATCGCTGTGGCTTGTCAACAATCCCCGAGACCCACCTTTCAGCAGCTTGCTGAAGTCGAAGTTGTACTGCATGACCAGGTGGGGGACCGCCCTCTGGTAGAGGCATATGCTCTGGAGCAGGACAGCTTTCAGAAGAACAGTTTCCACATCATCTGCAAGAAAACAAGACAGCTGAGTTAGGAAACACACTTGTTCTTCGTCCTCCATCAGCAACAATAAACAGTGGCCACGTGATGACACACCTGCGGGTCCAACACCAAGCCTGTGGACAGGCAATAGATATAAAAGGCCAATTTGGTCATTGAGCCTGGGTTTAAACCTGTTTCACTGCTGGGACCTTGGGCAGGTTGAGGTCACTCTGCCTCTCTGGGCTTTCATGCCTTTATCTGAGCAGTGGGCATACACAGCAGGGCCCACCTCCATGGGACTGCTGTAAGAACTAAAAAGGACAGGGAACCAGCAGTTAGCGTAATGGCTATGTCGCTGGACTCCCACGTAGTCAACCGCGGTGCGTGTCCCGGACCCAGTGGCTTAAAACTCACTCCGGGCGCGTGTGCGTGTGTGCCCAAGATCCCGAGAGGAGAATGGAGGAGAAGGGATTGCAGCATGACCATCCCCCCCCAGGGGGTGATTTCTCGCTTTCTGTCTCTATGTCTCTGTCTGTCTAGAGAGCACACGCACCCTATAGCAAAAAAAAAAGAAAAAAAACTCTCCAAAAAAAAAGGACAGAGGTAAGACATAAAGCACACTGTCTGGCCAGTGGGAAAGTCTGAATCACACATTTTATTACAAGAAGGGTCCACTTCTATGTGTAGGGCAAGACAGAGCCCCGCCAGGGGACAGGCAGAGCACATGGCACCTTACAATCGGGTCTTCAGAGAGACAGCACTTGGAATTGGAGCACATGTCTAATACATACTAAAATTGACTCTATTTTGTTCTAATTCTTCCTCTTAAGCAAAAAAGAACACGAACACATCCACAGCCAGGGCCTTGAAACAGGAACTGCTCAAGGACCCTCTAGATAGCAGCCATCCCAGGCAGCAGGTTATCAGCTCTGTCGGGGCAAATGGCAGAGGCCCTCAAAGCCCTCACCGCACTGGGGAGCTGGGCAGGCAGTCGCAGGCTTATCACCCCCTCTCTTGCCTTTCTTGTCATCCTGTTTCGTCTCTTGCTTTTTAAGTGACTGCCATACCCACACAATAGTGTTTAGGTCTGGCAAAATCTAAAACAGAAAAGAAACAAAAATTCAGTCACATTAAGCCATGAAAAGAAACAAATGAGTTGGACGTATTGACAGGAAGCAAAAACATAGTTACAACAGATGCAAGTTCTTTTATTTATTTATTATTTTAAATTTTTTCTATAGAGAGATTTTGTTATAGGGTGCATGTATTCGCCAGAGACAAAAAGTGAGAAATTGCCCTCCGAGGGAAAGGTCACGCCGCAATCCCTTCTCCTCCATTCTCCTCTTGGGATACTGGGGCACACACACACACGTGCCTGGCAAGAGACTGAAGCCACCAGGTCTGGGACTCGAACAGCAGTTGTCTACGTGGGAATCCAGTGATGTAACCATTCCGCCATCTGCTGGTCCCTAGGTGCAAGTATCTGTGTGTGTGAGTGAGTATATAAGAAAGAGACTGCAGGGCTGGTAGGTGGTGTGGAGGGTAAGGTGCTGGATTCCATATGGCTGTTCGAGTCCCAGAACCAGCAGCTTGAAAATCATGCCAGTGTGTGTATTCGCATGCCCCAAATCCTGAGAAAAGAATGGAGAAAAGGGTATTGTGTTGTGGTAATCCCCTGGGTGGCGATTTCTCATTCCCTCTCCAATGGGCACACACACCCTATAGCAAAAAAAAAAAAAAAAAGAAAAAACAACAACAACAAACAGACAGGAGGGTGGGGTGACACTGGCCTACTTCCTCTGTAAGCTGTCCTGTGGCACACTTTCTAGCACTGTACACAATAAGCATTTGGTGGAAAATCAAATGCTGCTAATTCAAACAGCTCCCTTAGCCTTGATGACCAGGGCAAAAGGGCACCGGAACAGAGGAACATTTCCATAAGGCCAGCCAAGTAGGTGGGGGGCGGGGGGGTCTTGCCCTGAGGTCTTCACCCATGAAGCCTGGGCTCTGCCACAGCAGCTGCCAGCTACCAGCAGACAGGCTTCCTTATGACCAGGGTGGCCCTGGGGCTGGAGTAAGGGGGCTCTCACTGGGCCACAGTACATTGAGTCAGTCAATCAGAGTGTGCGTGTGTGCGCACACGCATGTGCACTGGTGAGGAGGGAACAGGGACGTGAGCCCCCACCAGGACAGCCCCTACTGCTGTTGCTATGGTGAGCAAGGGCATCGGCTCAACCCTTACTTTGCACCAGGCCTCCCAACTCCTGCTCTGAGGGTGATGGCACTGCCTGTGGCTACAAGCAGCAGGTTTTTCCAGCAGAGCCCTCAGCCTCCCTGTTGCGACCCTGTCCAGTGGCCTTCCCGTCCCTGCGTGGCTCTCGCCCTCTGTGCTGCCCTGCCCGCCTTTTCTACTGGCTGTTAGGTGCCCACGCTGGGGTCCACGCCTACCTTGCTCAGGGCTTCCCTGAAGAGCTGCACAAATTCTTCCATCATCGCGGCGGTGTACACACCGGATTCTTGCCATGCCTCTCTATCCAGGCAGTAATCAATAGTTTTTAAGGCTCTCTTCAAAACGAAGGAAATAAGCGATAACGCTGTGTGTCTCACCGGTTTGCTGTCCAACTGGGAAGAAGAAGGGTAAATCCACAAACGTTTCCAGAATACACCGGGGGACAGACATTCCCTGAACCTGGAGTGGCTCCTGCCTTTCTGGGATCACTCCTCAGGAACACAACGTGAGACAGCTGGTTTCTAGTCTACAAGAAGGGGTGGCCCGAGGACCTTGCCCCCACACACTCTCCAGGAAAGTGGCAATGCCCAGGTCCTGAGATAACACAGCTGGAGGAAAATGGACAGCCTCTTACCTCCTAAACCACCCCCCAGGAGTCAGCTTGGGGTGCTAGTGTGGTGCACAAAGGGTGCAGCTGATGTGCTCCTGTCTATCAACCTCCCTGTTAGCCCCTGGGAAACACGTGTTCTCCCAGAGACATGCACACTAGCTGGGTCCTACTTTTTCCATATGATGACTTGGCAAACAGAACCAAAGCCCTGCCTGGTCTCACATAGGCCTTCTCTCTACTCCTCACCCCATTGCCCACCCTCAGACAAAGCCTGACAGGTATGAAAAAGTGGCCCCACTCCTGTACCATCTCAGGTGTCTACAGTACTTTCCGTGACTGTCACCCACCTCCAGTGGGGCCAACTCCTGCCTGTGTGACCCACCACAGCCGACCTAGTCCTACTGTTGTCACACAACCGTTCAGCCTGCCTGGAAAGACGGAGATGCCCCTCTGCATGCCCAGCCTCCCCAGGAAGGTCTAGGCAACCCGGGCTTGGGAGAGGCTGGAGAGCACAGGGAGGCCAACGACTCCCAGCCATTCACCTATGCCATGACACAGTGGTGGGACACATGACCCCTCAGACTGGCTTCTGATGGGACCTGGGACCTTTATAGTAAAGCAATTATGGGAAACTTAAGCATCCATTTTTCCCCATAAACACATCCAAAATGCCTGAAACGAGCATTGGTCCTCAAAGCAAATGTTCCCCAGAAACCTTAACACTATTCATATAAACCACAAAAGATGACAGGCCAAGCAAACTTCAGTCTCTACCTGTTCAGAAACCCTAACAAACGAGATCTGAATGGGTGAGCGTCCCTTGCTCAGATTCTAACATCCCCCACCCCTCAGTTTCGGGAGTCTCCAGGAAGGTTCTCAACAAGCCCGAAGGGTCTCAGGTCCCACGTGTGTGGTGCAGCAGGGATGACGTGGAGACAGTCACCCAGTAAACGTGCCTCTACTCGGAGGTCCTGAGCCCAGGTGAGTGGGCCTGCTGTGGGGCTATTTCAAGCTGAAGCCCACCTTGGAAGCCTCAGAGCTAGATGACAAAGCACATCAAAGACATCCAGTCAGTATCTCAGGACACCCACCCAGCACAGACAGGGCATGGTGGGAAAGGTTCTAGGCCTGCAAGCTTAGGACACCCAGGCAGCACAGCCGGGGACTTGGGGGGAAAGGTTCCGGGCTCGTAATCTCAGCTGAGGGCTTGGTGGGGGAGGGCTCTAGAAGTGGGGCAACTGTGTGAGCTTACGTTTAACGCCTGGGTGAACATGATCTTGTTGCACACTACGGGCACGACGGTCACCATCACCATGGCCAGGAGCCGAGGCAAGGGGATAAACTCTCTGGTTTCGAACGCTCGGGAAATCTCTGGCTGGGCCTCATAGATCTAGAAAACGAATAAAGAGGTTTAGTTAATGCTGAAAATTAGGGGTCAAACTTGAGGCCAACTGTAGGCATCCAACAGTGAAGCCATTTTGGTCATATCATTACAGTGACGATAAAGGTCTGAGATTCATCCCAAGGGACAGGGCCTGGAATATGAACCCCCAAATCCACATCAGAGTCAAGTCAGGTCACCAGATGGGCTGTAACAAAGGAAGTGACCTTCATCAGGCAGAGCTCGGCCTGCAGTCCAGGGAGCCTCTTAAAACCGCTTAGGGGCAGTGCAGTTCATGAGAAAAGTTTTTGATGGACACAAGTAAATAAAAGGTTACAGGACAGTGCACTACAGCAGAATAAAAACAATAGATTATTTAATACATATTTTTTAAACCTAGTAGATCTATTACTAATGTACACAATAAAATGCAGTATTTGATGTTGAAGATGAGTATACCCTTGATTTGATTATTATGCATTGTATGCATGCTTTTAAAAATCATACCAAATCTCACAAAGGTATGGAAACCAAAAGTCATAATTTTAAAAAAACAAAAAACCCTCCAATATGTAATAAATAATAAATCACTGCTAGAACTAGCAAAACAGTATTACCACTTAGACAACTCTTCGGTGTAGGAACATTTACATTAACAATAAACTGGGGGGGGATTCCTTTTGGCGGGAACCGCCATCTTCCAGTAATTAACCCAAATGACGAACACAAAGGGCAAGAGGAGAGGCACCCGATATATGTTCTGTAGGCCTTTAGAAAACATGGAGTGGTTCCTTTGGCAACATACATGCAAATCTACAAGGAAAGCCCCACAAATGTGACCATGTCAAAACTGGAGAGTCGCAAAAAAGAAAGGAGGAAGCAAATTCCGCCGGGGTTTGCCCGTTTGCCAAAATTATTTATACGGGGAGTCACCTCACGTTGTAGTCGCCTCTTTTGTCAATCAATCCTTGGCTTTGGTATTCCCATATCGTCTTTTAACTAGTGTACTGCACTTCTGGAGTCTGAAAAATACTGCCGAGAGGAAATGCGGGGGCTATAGTATAAACAAGCAAAGCTCACCTCCCAGGCTCCAGTGACTCTTAAACTTCCCAATTCTGCAAGAGCACTGGATGACAAAGAATTATGGAGAAGCGCCTGCAGGAGGCTCAGCTGTACAAGCAGGAAGGGAACCATCGCTACCGGGAAGGGAAGTACCGACATGCTGTGAGTAGGTACCATCGAGCTCTGCTTCAGCTGCGGGGTCTGGATCCAAGTCTGCCCTCCCCGATACCTAATCTAGGACCTCAGAGCCCGGCTCTCACCCCTGAACAGGAAAACATACTGCACACCACCCAGACAGACTGCTACAACAATCTAGCTGGTAAGAACAGGGATGAAGGGTGGGTAGAGAGCATGGAGGCAGGAACATGAACACCTGTGAACACTAGGAAAAATACGTTCTTTTCTGCTGTCATCCAGTTATTCTGCCATGAATTGAAATACATTTCCAAACTGTAGGGTACTAATTTCGTTTTTATGCATCAGGGCTTCTCAGGCATTACCTAGAGAGTAATGCCTGAGACCTACCCCCAGAGATTAGAATTTAATGGGGCCTGGTAACACAGGTTCTTTTTTATTTGGCCACAGAGCCTGTGTGCTTGAGAGAGAGACAGTGAGAGGGAAAAATGAGAAAACCCACCCCTTCATTTTCCTTTAGGGATTTTGGGGGTGTATGTACATATTCCTGGAGTGATTTTCTGGCCACCACTGCCATGAGTTGAACTATGCTTGGCCATATGGGAGTCCAGTGCCTTAACCACCATGCCACCTGCTTCTCCCCAATCTACATTTTTAAAAAAGAATTATTTCATTTTATTTGTTTTTTATTATTCTTCACTTTGATCAGAGAAAGAGAGTGAGCGTGAAAGCAAGCTGCCAGGTGTGGGACTTGAGCTGTGGTCAGCCATGTAGGATATAGTGCCTTAACCACTATGCCACCTGCTAGCCCTCCAATTTACACTTTTAAAGAATTATTTTATTTAACTTTTATTTTATTTATTTATTTACTTATTTATTTTAATTTGA